AAGAGAAGATAATTCAGTCTAAAGGATGAGAATTAATCTGATTAAGAGGGGTGAAAAGTATGCCAGGCTAGGATCAAAAGAAAGATGGGGAAGTTGAAGCTCAGGGCACTAAAATCCAAAGGGCACAAAAAATGAATGGTGGGGGAGACCCAAAGATATGATACAGGAAATTGGACTGAGGTGGAGGCGGAGTGTTTTTGCACTTTTAGCAGTTTCATTCTATTCCCTTAAGAACAAGTCCTACCATTTACTTCCTGTGGGCATCAAAATTTTTATAATGTCTCTGTTTCAGGCTCAAAGAACAACTTGTGTAAATAGTTAAGCTTGGCTAGTGTAACTAGTGTGAGGGGAAAAGTGACAAAAGATGAAGCTGGGAAAACACACAGAGACTTAAAAAGCCAAACCCTCAGTAACTGGGACCTTCTACTGAATGCTATGAAAGAAAGGGCAGTGAAGGTTTTTATTAAGGGAAGAAATAATTTGTTTAAGAATTGGGGGTTATGCCATAAAGGAGAGACCAGAATAACTTAGAAAGGAAATGCATACATTTTAAGCACCACTACACTCTACTGGAGCAGGGGCTGGGCAAGGCAGTGGGGAGAAGTTTAATATTCGTTATACACTTAACTGAACACCAGGGGCTGTGCTAAGCAGTTTACATGTGCTTTTTTAAAATTGTCACCTGAGGAACAAAGATGGCGGCATAGGTAAACACACCTAATCTGCTGCCATGCACAACAATTTCAAAAATAAAACTATAAAATAAAATGTCTATCACTCTAAACTCAAGGGAAAGCTGGCTGAAAGGAAGCCCTACAACTAGACTGAAAGAGAAAGAGGAGAATTCATGGCACAAGTGCTGAAAAACTGAGGTAGGGGGTTGCGGACGCGATACGGGCTGCCGGCAGAGGGAGTAGCTTTCTTCAACCCGAAGAGAGACAAGCTCCCAATCTCTCTGAAATCCAGTTTCTGGGGAGAGGCTAGACTGCCTGCCATCGGGTCAGAAAGTGAGGGTGCCTTGTTTGCAGAGTTTCGCGCAAGAATATTTGTTTGCTGTGCTGTGGTGAGAGACCTGGGGAGACGTGGAGAGACATGAGATGCAGAGATGCGGGGACGTGGATTAGAGAGGTGGCTGACCAGCAGCTATCGCTGTTGGCCACGCCCCAGCCTAAGTGATGCCTTGAGACTCCGCCCATCACAACCTACAAACACACCCAAGCTCCAAGCAGCGGCTTTTGCATATGAATGGCCCTAGCAAAGGAGGAGAGGACTATGGTTCTCACTGTAGCTCCTGCAGGGTGGCCATAGACAGTAGCTGAATCACACCCCATTGGAGATCCAGAAGCCAGTGTTCCTTGTGCTCAGTTTTAACCCCTTACATCCATAAGTGACACATTTGGGAGACGGACTCAGTAAGCACCAAAGCCCCACTGAAACAAGGCATGTCTCCAGCGCAGTTCTTCCTTTGTAGACACAACAGGTCCTCACAGACAATTGGCCTGGAGTCAATTCCTCCCAGTATACCAACAGCAATCAAGGCTTAATTACACAAGACTTTGCACTCAGCCCACAAAGGGATATAGCAAAAGAGACCACCTCAGGTGATTGGGGATTCTGAGCTACTGACCCCTATAGGTCACCAACCACACAAAGCCACTCCATCAACACAGGGAGGCAGTCAAAATGAGAAGACACAGAAGCATGTCATGAATGGAAGAGATGGAGGAAAGTAAACTACGGAATGACACAGAGTTCAGAATCACATTTATAAGGTTACTCAAGAATCTTCTAAAAACCTTTGAGAAACTTGATGAGACCTCCAAGAAGCTTTGTGATACCTTCAAGGACCTTAATGAGAATACCAAAAAAAAAAAAAAAAAAAAAAAAGGAAAAGGACCAGCCAGAAATTAAGCATAGACAGTCTGAAATAAAGAATATATAGAAACTCAACTATAGATCAGTGTGCCCCAAGAATCAAACCAAGATCTGGAATATAAGGAAGCAAAAATCACCCAACCAGAGAGGCAAAAAGAAAGAAGAATCCAAAAGTGTGAGGATAGCATAAGGAGCCTCTGGGATGGCTTAAAGCGTACCAACATCTGGATTTTGGGGGTGCCAGAAGAAGAGAGCAAGCAGGATATTGAAGACTTATTGGAAGAAATAATGACAGAAAACGTTCCCTATCTGGTGAAATACACCTACAAGTTCAGGAAGCACGCAGAACCCCAAACAAGTGGAATCCAAAGAGGACCACACCAAGACACATCATAATTAAAAAGCCAAGGGCAAAAGACAAAGAGAAAATCTTGCAAGCAGCAAGAGAAAAACAGCTAGTTACCTACAAAGGAATACCCAATGACTGTCAGCTGATTGCTCAACAGAAACATGCAGGCCAGAAGAGAGTGGCAAGAAATATTCAAAATGATGAACAACAAGAACCTACAACCAAGATTACTCTACCCAGAAAAGCTATCATTCAGAATTGAAGGTCAGATAAAGAGCTTCACAGACAAGAAAAAGTTAAAGGAGTTCATCAACACCAAACCAAGATTACATGAAATGTTGAAGGGTATTCTTTAAGAAGAGGAAGAAGAAGAAAAAGGTAAAGGTAAAAAATTATGAACAACAAAAAGACATCAAATACATACCTACCAACAACTGAATCTAAAAATCAAGTGAATAAAAATCTGAAAAACAAAATGGACCGGTGAATACAATAGAATCAGGGACATAGAAAGGGATTAGACTAACAATTCTCAGGGGGAAGGGTTCCAAGGGGTGTGGAAAGGGATTGGACAAAAATCTTATACCTATGGATGAAGACAGTGGTGGGGGTAAGGGCATGGGGTGGGATTGGGAATCAGGTGGAGGGGAACTATTGGGGGGGGGGGACACCTGTAATAATGTGAACAAAAAAGACTTATTAAAAAAATTATCACCTGAGGATATGTTTATTGATTTTAGAGAGAGAGGAAAGAAGAGAGAGAGGGAGAGAGAGAAATATTGATGAGAGAAACATTGATAGGTTGCCTCAAGTACATGCCTTGACTGGGGATTGAACCTGAAACTTAGGTATGTGTTCTGACTGGGAATCAAACCTGCAACTTTTGGGTGTATAGGACGATGCTCTGGGCCACTTGGCCAGGGAAACATGTATTATCATTTTAAATCTTTTCAAAAACCTTGTTAGGTAGGTATTTTACAAAAGAGAAAACAGTCTCAGAGAAATGAAGTTCTTGCTCTTACCCATACCACTAATTAATTTCAGGGAAACTAGGATTATTTTAGTACAAAGGCTATGAGCTCCCCATTAGAGCAAGCTACTTCCTAGAATCTTACTGAGGTTGTTCATTTCCTGATTAGCCATCTGCATCTGCCTCCATCTTGCTTTCCATGTTAGTTGAACAAACAATACTAAAGTGTCCTTTGGGGGATTTATATAGATACGGTGTATCTCAAACAGTAAGCCATTTGACAGCAGGGACTAGGTTTTATTAGTATTTCAGCAGCAGGGTGGTACCTGGCATCTAGTAGTTCCTTGACTGAATTAATGACTGAATATCCACCAAAGTGGTAGAAAGAGAGGAGAACTTTGGGCACTCAAGGCTCCAATTTGGGAGCTTGTTACAGCTACAGTTTGGTACAACAGTAATGTTTTTATAACTCCCAAAAAGTAGACTCCTAGAAGCAGACTCAGCTCCTAGAAAGAAGACAGCTCTGGTTCTGACATCCCCATTCCAGCAGTGAAATTGACAATGATAGTAATAAGGCCTGGGATGAAGTTTGTGAGTTTGCAATGAAGGGTCAACTAAACAGATAAAGAGTGTAAACAAGACTGCAAAAAGGAATGATTATTTAACCTGTTTAAGAAAACAAACTGTTCTCAACCATTCCTGCCCCCTTCCCCCCCCCACGCCCGCCCCAGGCATTCTTAAGAAAATTCAAGTACATTTATATGCAAATAGTTGTATCCATAACACTCCATTCTGATTTAGTAAACAAAGCACGTTCTTTAAAGAACCTCCATTTTTTAAGCATCATTTTAGTGACTGTATGTACTTGAGAGTAAAAGAAAACCTATTTCTGTGACAGAATTTTTAACAATTCAAGCAAACCTCCTCTATTAGGTAGCATCAATGAAACTGTGCTACATGTAACACTTCTACCAGGATCAATTTTCTATCTAGCAATAGTATCTCATATGCAGTACTGTCCTTCAATGTCTCCTAATCCAACTTAGAGCTCTTCCTACATCTATATCATTATTGCATGTAAATGTGTGTGTGACAGTAGGGAAGAAAAAAAGGATGAGTGGAGGGAGGAGATTAATGTTGACTGATTTTGATGTTCCCTATAGGGGACAGAAATTAATTGTATAACTTATTTCCCCTTCCAGTATATTTTCCACACAATTGAGCAAATTAAGTTGATTATGTATATAAAATCTAAAAAAATGAATAAATTACATATATTTATTCATTTTATAATTATATATACATATGTTTTCTTCATAATAAATTCTTGATTATAGATTTTTATTGTAAGCTATATATAATATGCAATTATTTAATACTTGAAAATTCTACTGGGCCAAATTGGCCAGCACTAAAAAAGCTGACACCCCTCTTTCCAGCTAGCTAGTCCCTTGTTCAGAGTATCATTCTACATTATTTACCTAGAATTACCATAATTCCTTTTAATATCATTTATACTTATAAATCACTGGAAATTTTTAATTCTCTAATGACAAGAGAGGTATTTTCTAAATTTGTTCTCCAATGGCTTGAACCCAGACTACTCAGATAATTTGTTCTAAGAAACTCAAAACATTACTTCAAATATGAGCTTTAATGCACAAAAATTAAAGCTATAATATCTAGTTATTTTGGATGCTTCAAATGAACTTTATTTGGTATCTTGTATATTGGACACTAACTTAAGTTTAGGAGGGAAAGAACTGCTGAAGTGGAGAGCCAGAGAATTGTATGCTTTCTTAAAATTTAATGGCAAGCTTTCATCCCAGAAACATAAGGGGATTCTTGAGGCCTGCAGTTGCATTCCTGACGCTCAGGGTAATCAATAAAATCTGGGGCAGGCAAGCCAGACAGGATCATTAGGGATTTGTTCCAGATTGTGAATGTTGGACAGACTGGAAGAATAAAGGTCACATCAAAAGTATGAAGATGGAGAGAGTTAGCTGGATCATAGAAAGACAGCATATTGTTGTCATAATCCAGAAGGACACCCAGGCGTTTCAACTGTGGGGGCACATCCACCAGCATTTCCTTGTTGTTATGTCTCACAACGAAGTTACTATTGCATCGAGAGAAAACCCATGAGGAAGCATTCTTGCCAATCCATTCATTCTTGGGTGCTGATTTATAGGCAATGCCAATTGCATACCTGTGAAACAGTGGAAAGAAGAGAGAAGTAAATATTTAGTAATGATCTGTGTTATGTTAGATACCAAACAGGATATAAAAGAAATAGAATACATGTCTTTTCCTTTAATAGTTTATATTTAGATCCATAATGCTGATACCACTAGAACTTTAATAAGTCAGAAATTGAGTGCTATAGTAGTTTCCAACTCCTAGTTCAGTATATTTTCCATGATTTATTTTTAAAAGCTAGCACATTTTTCTAGAAGTGGTTTTCCTTGACTTACTGGTATTATGTCTGTGCTATACAACTGGATCTCCAGGAACCTAACAGGGGAGAGAAAAGGAAAGAATAGTGAGATCTACTCACCATGTTGAGGAAGCCATGACAACCTCCCAATAGTGGCAGCCACTGTCAATGAATATATTTCCTGCTGCTCCATAGCACCCTGTGCCACTAAACCTTTCTGGAGTATGGCTCTTCTTCAGAGAGCTTTCATCCTTCTCCATCTGCAATCCATCATTGGAGATCTTCAACTTCTTATGAGTCATTTTGGGATCCAATTTAAAGGGTTGGCCTGAAAAAAGTAGAAATAAGAAAACACATGAGGAAATATTTAAGAATTCTTTGTTTTCCAGGACCAGCACTATCAGAGAAGCCTTGATATGATGGTCATTCTTGGGTCAGTGCAAATTGGCTATTTTTTATCATATTAAGGAAGCAGGGCAAAAGTCACCATATTCAATAAAATAAGAATATGCTGTCTGACCAGTGTAGCTCAGCTGGTTGGAATGTCATCCCATACACAGAAAGGTGGCAGGTTTGATTACTGGTCAGGGCATACACCCAAGTTGTGAGTTTGATTCCTCATCTCTCTCTCTCTTTCTCTCTCTCCTCTCTCTCTCTCTCTCTCTCTCTCTCTCTCTCTCTCTCTCTCTCTCTCTCTCTTTCCTCTCTCTAAATCAGTAAAGAAACATATCCTTGGGTGAGGGTTTAAAAAATAATATGCTGCCCCCTTCATATATTATCAAATTAAAAGGGGACTCTTAGAGTCTCAAATATGTTTACTATTTTACTTTATTTCAGTAGGTGATTTGGTATTTGACTGGATTTCAATATTTGAGGTGAAACAAAGTGAGGGAATTGATGAGATCAATGCTGCTTATTAGCAGATCAAAACTGAAAATAACTCATGAACAGGACTATTTTTTTGCCCTCTTACAAATGGGATATAAATAATATAATTAGGTAATTTCATTAGAGTGACTATTGCATCATCAATGGTCAGATAAAATATTTGTTGTGTATGATTATTTACAACATAGAATTTCTTATCTTCATATGACAAATCCAGGTACTAGGATCACCAATTGCTGTATATGGCAAGAGCCATATTGTATAGAATTTGTCTGTGGCAGACACTATTGGTAAACACAACATCCATTTCCTACTTTTTCTTTCTTACCTACTCTCACTATGGAGGCCAGAAAAGCTAAATACTCCAGCACCTAGTCTCCCTTATTGTTGGGATGGCTAATAAGATGTAAATAGTTGGAAGCAGAAGTCAGACAGGATGTGAGAACCTTTTGGGAAAGCGGATGTTTTTAAGATAAAAGGGATAGCCATCATGTATACCAGCCCTTTATCTTTCCTTTCTTGAAAGAAAATATGACATCTACAGGTTGCAGTAGCTCTGTTGTGATCATGTGGCAAAAACTAATAAAGAAAAGGACAAGGAGCCCGAGTCTTTTACGACGTCACAGAACTGATACAACATCGTGAACTACATACATTCAAACCTCTTGTTATGAAATTTTTTAAAATATCTTTTTATTGATTTCAGAGAGGAAGGGAGAAGGAGAGAGAAATAGAAACATCAATGATGAGAGAGATTTATTGGGTGGCTGCCTCCTGCATGCCCCACACTGGGGATGAGCCTTCAACCCAGGCATGTGCCCTGACTGAGAATCAAACTGTGACCTCCTGTTTCATAGATCAATGCTCAACCACTGAGCCATTCCAGCTGGGCCAAACCTCTTGCTTTGTTAGAGAAAGAAAAACAATACTTTGATTAAGCTACTTACAAGTTACTATTTGTTAAGCTAAATTAGTTGAATTTTCTGTCACTTGCAGTCTAAAGCATTCCTAACAGGTATAGCTTCTCTGAAGTAGGGTTCTAGCAGATTATCACAGATACAGTCATGCTCAACAAAGTGATATTTCACTCAATAATGGACCACATATAAGATAGTGGTATGCCATATAGCCTAGGTGTGGAGTAGGTTATATCACCTAGGTTTGTGCAAATTACATTCAATGACATTTGCACAACAACAAAATTGTCTAATTATTCAATTCTCAGAATATTTCCCTATTATTAAGTGGTGAATGTCTATAGTAGTCTTTTACTCAACTGTCCCACAAGCATGAGGATATAGTGCAGAGAAAAACTCTTCACTAACATCCTCTAAAGCCACCAGCTAGTTTATGTATATCTGTATTTACATATCTTCCAGAGCCTTGAACAAATCCCTTGATCAAAACACAAACTATAACAGTAAAGCCCCTCTACCCAGGGCCTCTAATGTCCTCTCAGGCTAAGTGTACTGCCTGGCACAGAGAAGAAAACTGATGTCTCCTTTCAGAATCACCATAACATACTGTTTGTTTTTAGTCGGGTAGGTTCACTGTTACGGCTGCCTGCTTGATTTATAGCTTTGACAATGAAGATGTAACGTGTCCCACTCTGGAGTCCATGCACTGTGTAATGGTTCTGCTTAATGTTGGGAACAATCATCCAGCTATCCACCGAATTATACAGGCCTGTAACATGGGGAAAGACAAGGACATTAACCAACAGGTAATAGAAATAGAACGAAGAAGCACACTGAAAATTCATCATAAGCCTCCCTCCCCCAATTATTTTTTTTTTCTGAGTCCTGGAATACATAGTAAGTAAGATGAACCTTTGCTTCTTTCCTCCCATGGAGCTAGGCTCATGCCTAGTTCCTTGCTTCTGGTAATTAAATGTAACCACTAGGGAGAGTTAGGTTACTTTAATTTTCTTCAAAATAATATAGGAAAAACTATTCTACAAAAACACAGAATCATCTTTTATGTAGTCTCTAGATCTTTACCCCAAAGGTCCAGTCCTCTGAGAGCAGAGTCTGGCCTTGTATGGATGAACAGTCCTGTGCAGAGTACAGGAATGTTGAATCTCAAAACCAAAAGGACACCTAGACACCATATTTCCCTCATTTCACAAATGGGAAACTCAGATGGAGAGAAGAAAAAAGTGATTTGCCCAAGGCCACAGATAGATGGTGATGGTGCTGAGAGTAGAAGAAACCTAGTCTCCTTAACACTAGTTCGGTGTTCTCTCCATTGCATCAAGTCACAGGGTAAACAACTATGTCTTATTGTCTCTGTAAAGTAGCAACTCTCTCAGGGCTTATGGACTCAACTCTCCCATCCCATCCTCATTCTTATTTCCAAGACTAGATGGGCTCCAGGTATCATAGGGAAGCCAAGGAGGTGACATGATAACCAAAGCAAAATATTATCTCCTCACTTGACACTAGTTTTATCCCTTCCTGGTTCTGATTCCAATATTCTTTTGAGATTGGGTGGCTCAGAAACACACTATTATCTTGAACCTTCTTTCCTCCCAAGTCGGAAAAAGGTTCAGAGATCTATGTTTTTGATTTTGAAAATCTTTAGAGCATAAACATGGATTTAAACAGAGAAAAATGTACACAACAAAAAACATATTTGGCTTTTAATAAAATAGGGATCAACATTCTAGTCTGTGGATTACCTATGTTTCTCTCTTCTGTTATCTTCTTTTCAGTCAGTTTACTGCTTTTTAAACACAATTCTACCAAAGGATGGATATGAAAATGAGTGGTGAATTTAGTCACTTCTATATAGCTGTAGTATAGGGTTTAAGTGAGATTGAAAAGAAAAACAATGAATTTCTAAAAAGCAATTTGTTCAGCAGGGTTTTATAATTAACTTGGGGCTGGGGTAAAAAAAGTCTAAATTAAAACTAGAAAAAGAAGCACAATGGAGGGCAAAAAGATATGCTATATAAAGAAGAATAATTAGTGGAAATCACCAGTGATTTTAGAAAAAGATAATAAAGGATAAGAGCCAGAGACAATGCTTGAGTGCCATACCAATGCATAGTATGAATCATAAACTACACATGAACTTTTAATACAAAGAGGGAAATATATGATCTTCCAGACATACTTCTAACAATGCAAAACAAATCAGGCTTCATAATTATTATGCAACTGTAAAAATGTGTGAAGGAGATATCTATGAACTGATATGGAGTAATTTCCAAGGTATATTGTAAATTGAATAAAGCAAGTTGTGTAAGAGCATGCATAATATGCTATCTTTTTGTAAGAAACAAAGGCAAATAAGAAAACTTACATACATTTGCCTGGAGTTATAAAACAACAATAACAGTAGGAAGGGAAAAAAAAACCCCAGAAAATAATGAAGTTGGTTACTTACAAAGGATGGGGATGGGTGAACAGGATTAAAAGTATATGGTAGTGACTGTGCTTTATCAGAACTGTTTTTAATGACGTTATTCTAAAATGTTTTCTTTCCAGATGATGATGGAGAAACTTTAAAAAAAAAATGGTGTCACTAGGAAAAGTTCTGTTACTGTTGTGACACCACTAGGAATTTCAAATCCTATTCCTAGTGGTGTCACAATAGTAACAGAACTTTTCTGTTTTTTGGAGATCTGTTTTTTACTTTTTTTATTGGAGTGTGCTGGATGTCTCTAAAATTTTGTTCAGATAACTGCAGAACCTGGAAAAGCTGTTACTGCTATTGATGCATAACATATATATATAATTTTTAAAAACTTTACTTGTGCAGTTAACTTTGGAAAAAATGATCCCAGTTGTACTGTGTTGGGTTGGCATTATACAGAAGTTAACAGCCATATTGATCTAGAAACATTTAACATAATTTTTCCCATTTCTACAGGGGTAACTCGCTGTATTAAATATATAAGGTCTTAGTCTACATGGGTTTTATTACAAAAACTAATAAAGTATTATCTAAATAAAAAAATTATATAGGAGAGAATGACACTTATATGAATATACCTTTCTTGTACAGTTTTTCCTTTTGGAATCATGATGCTGTTTTATAAATTCAAAAGTTAAAATGAAATCAATATGATTGGGAAGAGTGAATACTAAAACTGAAGACAAACTGAAACAAATGAGCCCAACTGTATTGCAAATGAAAAATAACCACACCAAAGGAATGGGGGTAGGAGGAGAATCGCAAACAAGTCCTGAACTATTGTTTGTTTTATAGTGGTGTGGGCAAAGCAAATTCTATACTATTGTAAATATATTATGGAAGTGAGCAAATGAGTACATGTATTAACGTTGTTAGGAGCCATGGTTCTCATTGTGGAAGTAGGAACATACAAATATGGAATGGGGGAAGGCAAGAAAGAATCTTGGGGATGGACTGGAATTGGAGTATTGATGGAAACTCATGATATCTAGAAAATAAATATGTACGTGTATATATATACATATGTGCACATATGTAAAGTATATATGTGTATATATATATACCAAATATATTTATATACATACATACATACATACATGAGTGGATGTGTGTATTCCTAATCTCCAGCCATTCTTCCCCTAAATAAAGTGGTTTAAAAAGAGAGAAAATGTGGAAAAACTTTAAGGGAAGTGGCTCTCAGAAGCAAGGTTCAGTCAACAGTGGAAGGAAGACTGGCAGGTAGGATTGGAACCATGAATCTTCATGAATAATTATTCCTAGTAAAATAGTTTTAATTTATCTGCCCACTGCCATCAAGCATTTTGCTTCAGGGTCTGCCCTTGTCCCAGTCCTATTATACTTTTCTTTCAATGATCAGAGGAAGACATGGAAGGCAGCCTGGAAGGGGAAGTAAATGTAATGGAAGGAAGAAACTGGTCAAAAGGATATTGGCAGGCTAGAATGAGGAATCAAAGCTAACCAGATAAAATGCAATAGAGATGAATTCAAGGTGTTGTATTTCCATGTGGACAATCAATTAATTGAACAGGAATAGGATTTGAAATTCCTAGTGGTGTCAGCTGACTATATGCTCAGCCAATACTGAATAATCAATTTCCTATTCACTAAAAAATCTATACTAATAAAAGGGTAATATGCTAATTAGACCAGGAGACCTTCCAGGAGACCCACTGGACATCCTTCCAGACAAAGCCATGGTGGCCGGGCCAAGGCAGAGGTATTTAGGGGCAATCAGGCCAGGATGGGAAGGGCAGTTGGGGGCAAGCAGGCTGGCTGGGGGGCAGTTGGGGGAGAGCAGGCTGGCAGGAGGGCAGTTGGGGGACAGTTGGGGGTGAGCAGGTGGGGGGGCAATTGGGGGTGAGCAGGCCAGCAGGCAGAGTGGTTAGGGGCGATCAGGCAGGCAGGCAGGCAGGCAGGTAGGTGAGCGGTTAGGAGCAAGCAGTCCCAAATTGCAAGGGGGATCAGGCCTAAAGTGGCAGTCAGACATCCCCTGAGGGGTCCCAGATTGGAGAGGGTGCAGGCAGGATGAGGGACAACCCCATGCATGAATTTTGTGCACCAAGGCACTAGTAAAAAAAAAATAAAAGTTTCCAAGGAGAAGGACAACAGGTAATATACAGAGAAATAACCCAGCTATTCCCTGAAATGGTCAGACTACTTTGGGAGTGTGTTTACCTTTTTTTTAATCCTCACCCGAGGATTTTTTTCCATTGCTATTTAGAGTGGAAAGGAGGGAGAAAGGAGAGAGGTACAGAGAGAGAAAAATATTGATGTGAGGGAGACAAATCAACTGGTAGTCTCCTACAAGTGCCCAGACTGGGGGATGAGATGGAACCTGCAACCCACGTATGTGCCCTTGAACGGGAATTGAACACGTGATCCTTTGGTTCACAGGCTGACACTCTAACCACTAAGCCACATTGGCTAGGGCTATATTATGAGCCATTTTGATAAGTAGCAGTGTGACCATACCAAGACTACTAGGATGGTAAAAGGTCTGAAACATGAGAAGCAATTCAAATAACTAAGGATGTTTAGCCTGGAAACGAGAAAATTTAGAAGATACACAAGAACTACCTAAAATTATCTGAATAATTGTCATTTGAAAGATTGATTCATTTGTTAGTGAGGCATAAAATGGCAGGCTGAGGACTATTCGGTAGGTTTAACATAAGGAGCATTAGCTTGAAGTCTGACAAGCTTGAGTTTAAATCTTGACTCCATCAGTTTGTAGCTTTGTGACCTTGGGCAATTCATTCTGACCCTCAGTTTCTTCATCTATGAAATAGAATTAATATCATCTATTTCATAAGGCTAAGTAAGAACTCATGAGGACTAAATAAAATAATGTATGTGGGAGTGATTGTAAATTGCAAAACATAATACAGGTGTAAATTATTATTGTCATTATTCACTAGGAAAAAAGTTAGACCTTTTATAAAGAAGCATGACAATCATTTACAGCTGTTTAACTAAGTAAGCTGTTTTGTGAGAAGTGAAATATCCATTACTGGAAATGTTCAATCAGAGACAGAATAATTATCTATTGGGAATCTGGTAGAACAAAAGAATATTAGTATAAATGACTTCCAATGTCACCCTTTCGAATTCTAAGATGCTATGATCCCATTGCTATTAACAATTAACTTTTAAGCTTTTCTTTACAAAGGACTATATAACCTTTAAAATAAAGGTGGCAGCCTTTAAATCTTTGCCACTATTCGAACTTATTCTCAACACTAGGAGCCCACTGTTCTCCCCATATCAGGAAGAAGAAGCACCGTTGGGGGCTCTAAGACTTTCCCGAGCAAGAGAGACAAGTGCAGAAAAGCATGTTGGGAAGGCCTTAGAGTTTGTGACTTCATAAAATGAAGAAATACCCAAGAACACCCAAGATCACAGCTCTCTTGGCTAAGTGGCTTAGGTTGGAACTGCACGAGGCAAGTGTTTTCGAGAGTTTGACCTCAAATGTCCTCTCACCTCTCCACCCCACTACGTGGCCCAGAATTGTCACAATTCAGCAAAAGGAAGCCTATCAGGAGGGTTTCACTGGAAAAACTCCTCTCATGCAAGCCTGTGAAGTCAGAAACAGAAGCACAAACACACAGGTAAAAGAAAATACTAATTAGCAGCTACACATATGCAACCTTAGGATGGGAGTCAGTTCTGCTTTCATTTCCATCTTCCCCTAGTGCATTGAGGGAAACTTGGACCTTGAACCCTCTTAACTGGCAATAAATGAATTAAGTTCTTACTCTGCCCTGTCTTGATCCAATTCATCAGAAGGTGAAACCATAAGAGCGAAATGACTGCTTTTTGAACATCTTTCATTTTTCTAGCCCACTGAGAAGTTTTTATATTTGGTGTAATTCTTTGAGGAAAGGGAGAAGGGGTAAAGGGAATAGTGACAGAGGCAGGAAACTTGTCACTATATTTACTATTACAAATGGGTATGTAAAGGAAGTACTAGTCTTTGAACATAAAGTATTTTACTATGGTAATGAAGTGGAAGAAAAGTCAAGGGGAGAAATGTTCACACACATGGAATCAGCAATGATGGTGGCTTAGCTACCCAGGAACAAAATATGAGCTCTATTCTGACTTGGAAGAGTGGAGTGACATGGATTAACTGAGGAAAGGTTAAAGATTACATAAACAAATGGGAGTAGCCCCAGGGACTTCCCAGCAAGGAAATACACAACTTGCTGATGGGCCCTTTGCAATGCCCTAGGGGAGCTTATACTGTCTACAAAACACTGTTCTAAACAACCTAACATGTCTTACAAACACTTGCCTCGTGGCGCCCCGGCCAATCTTGAGCAGCTTACTGCTTCCTTACATTTCCTTATCTCTGGCCACAGGCCCCAACTACACCATGACTTACTGATGAAGTTAGCCTGGCCAGTGAATATGGTGTACTGAAGCTCATAGGAGCTGATGCTGAACTCATCATCCGAGATCCAGTGGACTGTAATGGTATCATGGGAGGCAGTACAGAGTTCCTCTCGGATAGATGGTGGGTTTGGGGCTGTAGGAAAAGGTAGAAAAGAAGGTAAGAAAATCACACTTTTTGTTTTGGAATTTTATAATTCCAAATTTTACTTTTGCTGATCAACCCAACATCTTGTTTTGAGATTTTAATAAGAAGCTTTATACTTCACATACCATAGATCCTAAAGCTAAGGACAGAGACCTCAAGTTCCCCCAACTCACTTTTGCTTCAATGATAAAAACACATTAGCAAAGATATAAGCCTTAGTTATTGAGATGAATGACCAATTGTCTACACTATCTGCAAACACAAGTAAATATTAGACCAAAGTGGTCACATAGTTTTCTTATTACATGACCTTCCACCTATTACTTTTTTATTTCAAAGTAAGTTTTACTATATATGTTTGGCAGTATACCGAAGTGCAAAATAATATGTGTTCCCTCATCTGTAAAATAAGGATGATAATTACATCATAGATTTGTTGCAAGGATTCATGACATAAAATTAATGTACAGTGTCTGGCATAAAGTAGAAGTTCAATAAATGACAGTTATTTTAATATATTAACAAAAATAACTACAAAGTTATTGTGTCTGTGTATTTTTCTCAGGAAATGATCATTGAAATAATCCTGAATGTAGCCAGAATTTTTAAAGGCTGGTTGCATTCCCTCATTTTCTAAAACTGTCTGCAAGCCACATATTTCTTACATTTTTCTTCCTAATCTGCCAGTTCTTAAAGTTTCCTTAAAACCATTTGGGTGGTATCTGTACCCATGTGGGACATTCTCTAATATTCCATAATTGCCACCTGAGTTCTACCTCTATAACAAGTAACAATATATTACTGATAGGTTCATAAGGAGAAATCCTTTAGCAACTTTTTATTTTATACCTTTAAATATGGATGTTATATCTATTCTGCCCAGAAATGTTTGACAAATCATCTATATTTTCTGTTACATTAACTAAAATGTGTTCTATTTAAAAAGACACATGTATCATTTCATAGGTTATAAAAGCATTTTCATTATATATATTGTCTTTTCCAAATTATTTTAAAGTATAAGCACACCAAAAGAAAAAAATATAGTGAGAAAGGAAGCACAGTATTTTCACACCTGTTAAATAATCTAGCCCCTCTAGCAATTTCTTTTCTCTGGAAAAATCTAAAGCAAAGTTTTCAAAGGCATCATTAAAATTGATGTCAGGAATCAAAACTTGAGAAGATGCAGTTGCCATAGCGACCCTGCAAAAGAAAAAAAAAAGTACATCAATATACATCAAAATAAGTTTGCAATCATTATGCAGTGTTTGATTTCTGGTTTAACAAGGTGAAATTAAATGACTTGATTCATTAAGTGAAAAATCTCATATCTGTGCTTTGCCAATGGAAACCATTTAATGTTAGTCATCAGGAACCAATCAAGGGTTGTATCATATTTATTCACATATGTTCACTTCTCAAACACACTCCCCCATCCTGTCTGAATTTTTAGAAGTAAATACCAAATTCTCCACCCACTCCCACTGCATCTACTTCCATCTGGCAGGAGTCATCAAAACTAGACCTCTGAAGGCTTGGTAAGAGCAATATGAAAGATTTTTTTTATGCTAATCAATAAGGCAGCACATTGGAGCCAAGCTAAAGCCTTCCCCTAAGTACAGTACTTAATTTGATCTTCTATAACATTTACATGTAATTGTATTCTTTTCTAGTTGTATAATGTTATGCTAGTTTTATCTCTTCATCTAATTCTAAGCAACTCAAGAGAAGGGTTCATATTTTGTACCTCATATCTTCCATGGTCCCTAACAGAGTGTTGGACACATGGTGAATCAATAAATACGGAAAGAATAACTGAATAATAACACCCTGCTAACATTTATTTAGTATTTTACATGCATACATAAATACATACATACTTTACATACACTAATGTTTTTTCCATTTTGTAAATGAGAAATATGACATATAGAAAGATTAAGAAACTTGCCCAAGGTCATACAACCAGTAAGGGTCAGGAAAAAAAAGAAATATAAAATATAACTGAACCTATGTTCATTGCTTCTCAGCGTCATACTTGACCATTTAAGACAGTTCCTTTTTTGGGAAAAAATAAAAGGATATATGGATTACAAGATGGCTGCAGAGTAGGTGGAAGCTAAACTCAACTGCTCCCAGTGCCAAACCAGATTTACAGCTAAATTATATAGCAATCAACCTGAATAAACAACTGAAAGCTAGCTGGACTGAAATGCTATAACCAAGAATTTACAGAAGACATCACATATAGCCTGATAAGAAGGGTCAAGACGCAGAAAGATCTGAGAAGCTGGAGGGATATCTCAGCTGTAAAACTCCCTCTCCCCAGAAGCGTGGGGTCTCAAAGCTATGCTAGGATTCTCAACCCAGAGCAACAAAAATGAGAGAAGGGAGTCTGCTAGAGACCCACATGCCCCCTTCCCATGTTCAAGCATTCCTACTGTTACAGCACAACCTAGTCCTGTGGTCGGCAAACTGCGGCTCTCGGGCCACATGCGGCTCTTTGGCCCCTTGAGTGTGGCTCTTCCACAAAATACCACAGCCTGGGCAAGTCTATTTTGAAGAAGTGGAGTTAGAATAAGTTTAAGTTTAAAAAATTTGGCTCTCAAAATAAATTTCAATCCTTGTACTGTTGGTATTTGGATCTGTTGACTAACGAACTTGCCAACCACTGACCTAGTCCTTCAACTACTAGTGATACCACCTTGCTGAGTTCAGGTCCTATAGAGGGGTCACCTGGCTGCATTCAGCTGGGAACTTCAGGGCACTCTTTTCCTGAGGAAGCTCTTGGTGGAGACTCAGACAGTGATTGAACTGTGTAGCCTGTGAAGTGGACATTTCTTCCCCACATCTAAACACAGGTGGCACCATCCCCACACCTGTTGAATTACTTGGACTGCCCTACCACCATAGAAGGATCAGAGTGCCATGCAGAGCTGGAATGTTCAGAGCATGTCTCCTAGGAAGGAGATCGTCAAGACAGAAAATTAAAGACATAAATGACACACTAGGTCAGATGTATTTAATTGATAGCTTCAGAGCATTTCACCCTAAAGCAGTAGAATATACATTTTTTTCAAGTGCACATGCAACATTTTCTAGGATAGACCACATGTTCAGACACAAAACAAGTCTCAATAAATTTAAGAAGATTGAAATCATATCAAACATCTTCTCTGACCTTAAAGGTATGAAACTATAAATCAATCACAAGAAAAAAACTGAAAAAACACAGAGATATAAAGGATATATAACATGTTATTAAACAATAAATGGGATAAAAGGAGATCAAGAAATAAATTAAAAAATACTTTGAAATATCATTGCAGACATGTACACATAAGGAACTGTTTGACATTGAAATTGGGACTCAAAAGAACTATTGGCCCAGAATGAAACTCACTACAGACTGATTCATTTGCCTCCCAGCATAACCATTATTGCTTGTCTCATTTTCGGTTCTTATAAGTGTATTTCTTGTATCATATGATCTCACTCATCTAGGAGAAATAATGAACAACATAAAATGATGAACAAAAACAGACCTAGAGACAGGGAAGTATCAATCAGACTGTCAAACCTTAGAGGGAAGGTAGAGGAGGGTGGGGGAAAGAGGGAGAGATCAACCAAAGGAATTATATGCATGCATATAGGCTTAACCAGTGGTCACAGAAAACAGGGGCAGGGGGCGCATGTGGGGAGGGGTTTGGGATGGGAATGTGGGGATGAGGACAAATATGTGATGCCTTAATCAATAAAAAAATTAAAAAGATACTTTGAAACAAATTAAAATGAAAACACAACAACTCAAAACCTATGGGACAAAGTGAAAGCAGTCCTATGAGGGAAATTCATAGCACTACAGTCCTACTCCAAGAAACAAGAAAAATCTCAAATAAATAATCTAACTTTACACTTGAAGGAACTTGAAAAAGAACAACAAATAAAACCCAAAGAGAGTAGGAAGAAGACATTAATAAAGATGAGAGCAAATAAATGATAAGCAGAAAAAAAAGATCATTGAAACAAAGAGCTGGTTCTTTGAAAAGTTAAACAAGATTGACAAACCTTTATTCAGACTCATCAAAAAAAAAAAAAAAAAGAAAAGGACCCAAATAAATAAAATCAGAAATGAAAGAGAAGTAATTATTGATGCCACAGAGATACAAAGGTTTGTAGGAATATATTATGAACAAAGCAGCAGGGTTGCTTTCTGCCAGGGAGACACTGCTGGAGATACAGGTACTTTTAAAGGGCCAACACACAAAATTTTGTGTGCAGCCACTAACCTTAGGGTCTGGCAAAGGCAGGGCAGGGTGGACTGGAGCTGAATGAGGAGATTTCAAAGTAGGGGGCTCTCGGGTTAGAGATCAAAAGGCAACCACCCAGGTTTCCTGTGCTGAGTCATTCCCTCAAACTGCAGAGGACACCTTTCTTTGGCAGATCTTTATCAGCCAGGCAGCTTTTGCCTGGGGGGAGGGGGCAATTGCCCCACCCTGTTGGGAAACCTCTTGCCTCACCGTGTGGAGTTTATACCTTTCTGTGATCTATAGTCTGAAGATAATTAAAACCTAGAATAACAATCTAACTGTAGGCAGCAGAGTGGATCTCTGGAGTCTTTGAGTCTTTGCCTAATCTCCTTCTGGACCTGGGCTAGAAAAAGCAGACTTTGGTGCACATCTTGGTCCTTTCCAAAGGCATCCAGTCCCAGCAAAGGAATCAACAAGCTGTGGATTGCTAATAGCTCCAAACAATACTCAGGGTCAGTCACAAACAGCATTTGATATTGTCCTGCCCTAGATACTGGGGATAATAGCAGATATACCTAATACGTGGACACAAACCCAAATAGGCAGCCAAAATAGGTAGACAAGAAAACAAGTCCCAGAAGAGCTAAATGAAATGGAGAGAAGAAATTTATCAGATATAGAGTTCAATAAATGGGCAAAGGACCTGAGTAGATACTTCTCAAGGAGGACATACAAATGGCTAATAGACATATATAAAGATACTCTAAGTCACTAATCATCAGAGAGATTCAAATTAAAACTACAGTGTGGTGTCACCTCATACCTGTCAAAATGGCTATCATCAATAAAAGATCAAACATGAAGTGTTGGTGATGATGTGGAGAAAAGGGAACCCTTATGCACTGTTGGTGGGAATACAGATTGGTGCAACCACTGTGAAAAACAATATGGAGTCACCTCAAAACATTAAAAATGGAACTCCCTTATGACACAGCAATTCCACTTCTTGAAATATATAAAATGAAACCCAAAACACTGATTTTTAAAGAACATATGCACTCCTATATTCATTGCAGTGCTATTTACAATAACTAAGATTTAAAAGTGGCCCAAGTATCCATCAATAGATGAGTAGATAAAAAAAAATCTGTGGTATATTTACACAATGTAAATGTGGTTGTTAAAAAATAAGGAAATCTTACCTTTTGCAACAGCATTCATGGACCTGGAGAGCAATACGCTAAGTGAAATAAAGCAGTCAGAGAAAGGGAAGTACCATATGATTTCACTTATATGTGGAATCTAATGAACAACATAAACTAAGAAACAAAACAGAAACAGACTCATAGTTACAGAACAGAATGACAGTGGTCAGAGAAGAGAGGGATTGAGGGGCTGAGTGGAATATGTAAAGGGATTAAGCAAAAAATCAAGTCACAGACACAGAAAATAGCATGGTTATTACCAAAGGGGAAGTGAGGTGGGTAGAAGAACAAAAGGTTATAGGGAGGATACATGGTGATGGAAGAAGACTAACACAATACAATATACAGTTGATGTATTATAGAACTGTACACGTGAAACCTATATAATTTTTTTTTTACCAATGGCACCCCATTAAATTAAAATTTTAAATTAAAAGATATAATTGGAGAAACCAAGATTTCAGCATAGATAAACACCTGAACTTGCTGCCTTGCACAACCACTTCAAAACTACAACTAAAAGAAAAAATGGTATCATCCAGAACCATAGGAAGGCTGGCTGAGTGGAAATTATACAACTAGAAGGAAAGAGAAAAGCACACTGAGACTTGGAGGAGGTGTAGAGGTACAGAAGTGAAGTGCAGAAGTATGGAGGCATGCACGCAGAAAGGGATGGCAACTGAGTACACTGTTGTCTTTTTCTATCAGGAGGCAGATACAAGCTCCTGACCGCTCTGAACTCCAGTTC